TGCTTCTGGTGTATTTCAAGAGCCTCAAAATGCTATTCTAAGTCTTAAAACTAAATGCAAAATTTCTTGTTACTACTCATTTGTCTGCATCGCAGTTTTAAGATATGTCCCATATTGCGGCTTTATTGTCACAAAATAGTCTAAAAAGAAAAACTGGTCCAGAAGTGAAATTATTTTTCTTAAGACTGCCCAAACTTTAATTCAACAAATACATTCAGTAAATATTTTAAAACTCTGTATAACACATTAAGAGAGAGAAGGTATAGCAGGTAATTCTCAAACTAGACAAACTAGACCTACCCTTCTCAAAATCCAGGGGACAACCCTGGGGATCACCAACAGTCTTTGCTACAAAACTGCCAATGATATTTCTCAGGTGTGTTTAGAAAGTTGAGAAACAATGGTAAGCTGCTGAGTTCTAGAAGTCCTATGCTCAGTAGTAAAATTGAAGATGCATCTCTTAAACTAAGATCATTTGTGAAGACCTCTTCACCATCTGCAGATGCCAGACAGGTTCATATAGGCTTTAACAAGTATTCCACTCTTCATACTTTTCTGAAAGGAGGCAGTCTTTTCAAAGTCAAGAAATGCACTGTGGTTTCACATATGCATAGCCAACATTCTGGCCCATCACAGGGTTAGTAGCAGTAACTGCTGGTGCTACTAAGTACTTGCAAAGACCGTAAGTGGCTGGTTAATTCACCTATGGGGCTTCCCAGGTGGCTCAGTGGTAAAGAATCCGCCTGCCAATGAAGGAGATGCAGGTTTGAAACCAGGGTAGGGAAGATCCTTTGGAGGAGGGCATAGCAACCCTCCCCAGTATTCTTGCCTGGAAAATTCCACAGACAGAGGATCCTGGTGGGCTACAGTCCATGAAGTCGCAAAGAGTCAGAGAGGACTCAACCTGGTACACACTTCACTTATGAGCACTTGAAAAGACCCAATACCGTTCATTTTCTTGTTTCGTGAACCAACTACCCAAGAGGTCCAAACTTAACCTATGCTATCATTATGCACTTTTCTTTAAGTGGAAGAATAATCAGAGGTTTCTTTTCAAAGAGGAAAAACACACAAAAATGGGCACTTCCAATGAACCTCTTTCTCAACCTTTCAAAACTAAAGCGTTTCTATCACTGTCTTCCTGTCTATCTAAACACTTAGGAAAAGGCCTGAGTAACACAATATATATTCTTTTTCCTATAAAGCCAATCAGGAAAACTGAAGAAATTTTATTATTCTCCTTTACATCAGAGCATTTTCACCTAACAAAGAGTTAGCAAATCTTTTCTCTAATCTAGACACGTTTCCACTATGTGCTTCTGTGCTCAAGATAGGCTCTCATTTTTCTACTTCCAAAACAAAATAGCTTAATAATGAATACAACTGCACTCTGCTTTTAATGGCTTATAAACTTACATGATTCTTAAATGCATAATTCATAGGACTATTAAATAACCGCAGCTACATACGCAGTCCTAAATAAAATATCAGGTTTAAAGTCCAAAGTACAAAGACCATTAAAAACAGTTTATTTGCCAAATCCACTGAGAAACTAGAAGCAACCTAACAGCTGTCTAAATAACCACAAAATATTAAAAACACTTCTGGCTCAATATAAATGACATCTGAAGTGAAATGTTGCCTCCTCCAACAGACATCTCATTTGTTTGTGTAGAACCATTTATACTTCATTTAAGCCAGCTGGTGTCTCCATTTGCAGACATGCATCAATGTCTACAGAACAATCTAAGTTCCTGTAAACCCTTCCCCATTCACAAGCTGCAATTTCCATTCTTAATGGCAAGTTTCCAGCAAATACAATGAGCTTTTACAAAGGAATTTAACTCTTCATCCAACTCAATTCCTAAGGCAGACTAGAGCAATGGTAACAAGTCAAATGATGTGTATAAACCTGTCTAGCAAATTCACAAATAGGTTGAGTTCACAGAACGATCACTTCATTCAGCCACTCATTCATTCACTACACAATTATGAATAACAATGTGTTGGATTTGATTGACAGCCCCATATATTTTGATTTTATTAAAATATTTTTGCTCCAGGGAATGTCATGACAATCTTTTGGCTAAGTGATAGTATTCTGAGAGGTTTCAAAAACCGATCAACAAGGATAGAACTCTTTGAAATCAGTTCTCAATTAACTTGCCAGGATGAGTATGAATAAAGCTAAGTAGAGGCATTCATTTTTCCAACCACAGCACATGGTTCCCACCACCCCGAATCCCCAGTTATCATGCATTTTTCTTTTCCCACATACTGAGATGACTACAAACCTCACTGCCAACACCCTCAACGAGGACTGGACGAACGCTTTCTGAAAAGAACCAGACAGTAAGTATCTGGTCTTTGGGAGAATGCAATCTCTGCCACAATCACGTGACCCCTCCTCTTGTAGCCGACAAGGGATGTGGACAATACTTCAAAAAAAAATGAGTATGGCTGTGTTCCAATAAAACTTTATTTGCCAGTTCTTTCCTTGTTCCTATTACTAAGTTGCAATAGTTTGAAAAATATTGATTTAAATAACAGTCATCAAGTCAAACCTTCCTGAGATGACTAACAACCAAAAAAACCAAAGCTAGGGTTTAAAACAGATACTCAGTCCCTGAAGCGACAACATGACTTCAGCGACATATCAGAAAATACTTATATATAAATATATCCAGAGAACAAAAGTAAATTCATAATTATACACATGTTCTGAAAAAAACTGCACTTCAGTAGTCTAGTTGTAAATTGTTTAAATTATATTTGAACCCACAGAAATGAAAACAAAGAACTCCCAAAGAGCCCCAGTCAATTTCATTTTGGTAAGTTGCCTTCCATTTCCAATCCTAGCTACTTATTTCTGCTAAAGATATATGGTATTCACTCTAGACAAGTTTAAAGAATCACCACTTTTAAAATAGGAATTTAAAAATTTCCAAGTTAGAGGACATGAAAACTGGGAAGCTCTGTGATACCTGCACAACACTGCAGCTCCCATTATGACACCATTACCAAAACCACACAAGAACAAGCCCAAAACCGGCCGTGTAAACATAAGGCTAAATTAAAGTACACGCAAAAAAAAAAAAGTCACTCCAAGACCACAGTTAAAAAGGTAAATGTTAGCAACTCAAAAGTTAATCAGTTTTAACTGCTGTTCTCTAATTTAAATAGCTAGAAAAAACACTTTTCAGGGACTCAATAAATATCAGTTAGTGTGTGACTTTAGAATTCAGGATATGATCAAACTTACAGCAGATGTCAAAAACACCCTGAAAAACAGAAAACATACCAATATTTTGGAAAAATGTGAATCTGAATCAGCAGGCTTAAACAATTTCAATAACTCCAGTCATTTCACTATTATAATAGTAATGGTCCACTTAACTGAAATGTAAGAAAATGTGAAGTCAATTGCATTAGTGAATGCTTCAAATACATCAATGAAATAACAGATCTGCAAAGAATCACAATTCTTTCTGAATTAATTCCCTTTAAAGTGAGGACAAATATAGCCCCTAGCTGACTTACCTTATATGCTCAAGACTATTTTAGCACTGCAATATACTTTAACTCCCAAACCTAACACTGTATTAATTCACCCCCCTAGAATGAAATTTATTGCTGGCTAGCTAGAGCTATTTTTAAGTGGCCTTATTAAGTACAGATTCCACAGTATCATTTCATTTTCAGTGACAGTCTTTCACTAAAAAGACAAACTCTGAAAATAGTATTAATCCCCAGTAACTCATTCCTGACACTGTTCCAACAGCAAAAGATGGTAGACTAGGCATTTGAGGATCTCCCCATATATTCGGAAAAAGATATTTAAAAGTCTGACCTGAAAAATACCAAAACTTATGTCAATTCCAAACCAAGTTACCAGTAGAGTTAAATACTGCCCACAGATTTTCTTTTTAAAGCTAACGATAAATACGTAAATCAAGCTATGAAAAGGCTTTGTCTGCAGATTTTATTATCACCAAAGGCTCACACATGAAACCTTTGCATGCTACACGCACAAAGGAAACATTTACACTACCAGTCCACATAAGCCTATCTTAAGACTACGCCAGGGGCACACAAGGATTTTCAAAGTACAGGAAAAAACGGACACAAACGCAGTTCAAAGCAGTCAAGAGGTAGCTCTCCAGTCACTTTCAGTAAATGTTTCAAGATGAACAGCAAAAATATTCTGAAGTCCCTTGGAATCCTGGGTTGATTTATTATTTTCAAGGCCTAGCCCTTTCCTTCCAAAGTACTTTCATGGGCAGAAATAAAGCACTTTTAACTAAAGCAACTACTCAGCCCCGCATTTCAATATAACTCGCTTTTCAATAAAAGTTCAAGTTTCTCAAGATCTAGACATATATAGTGTGATCGTATTACAGTACTCGGGAAGAGCATTTTCTTTGTTGTTGACCCTGCTAGGGAAACAGGTCTTGACTCAGCCAAAGTGGCGTTCTTGTGGGTGATTAATGACAGGCCTAGATCTCACCCCAGTGACATCCTTCCCCCACCCCCACCCCTTCCGTACTAAAATCAGCCATGTCTGAACTGGAAGAGGGGCGGCCGCCTAGCCTCAAACCACCCAGTTCCAGAGTCAAAGGGTGCAACCAATCGATTCTGGGAGACAGCCATCGAGATTCGGGTGAAATGTGTGACCCCTCGTTTGCCTCGATTTCCGTGTAGCGCTCTCTCTGATCATTTCCGCTGGGGCTCTCCCGACTACGGAAACGCTCGATTCCAGTCATTCGGCCCAAAGAAAAAGACCTTCCTCAACCCCACAATACCCGGCAAGGCACCATTCCCCCGACCCCCTCCCCCGGTATCAGGCCATTCCTATCAAGTCTCCGACATTCAAAGAGCGCCTTAAGAGAAATGTGGCCGCGGAGGACTCTGCTAAGGACGGAGAGCCGTCCTGCACCCCCAGTCCCGCGGCCTCATCGCTCGCCCCCCACCCCCCGGGCGGCCGCAAGACCGAGTCCCACCTGTGGTGAGACGGGAGGAGACGTCGCCGAAGGGAGATGGCTCCATTCGGAGATACTTCTGCGGCGAGGCGGCGGCGGCCGAGAAGGAAGCGGCGGTGGCCGCGGCGGCCGACGACGGGGAGGCGGCGGCAGAGGTGGGCGCCGACAATGGCGCACATCGCCTCCGCTTCGGGGACGCCGGGCTCAGCAGCGGGTCGAAATCCAGAGTCCGTTTCAGAGTGGCTCCGCACGCCATGGCCGGGGCGCCGGGCTCGGGTGGAGTCAGGGAAGGGAGGGCGAAGGAAGCGGGGAAGAGCGGGGCCCCGAAGAGAGCCTAACCGACAGGCTCAACAGCGGAAAGGAGGGTGGCGGAGCGCCGGCGAGGGGAGCAGAGCCGCTGCCGCCGCCTCCGCGGCAGGGGCAGTGGCCCGGGCCGGCCGGGGCGAGAGCAGGAGGGGCGGTGGCGGCGGCTCACGCTGGCCGCGTCAAGGGGGCTCTTCCGCCTCCTCAGGCGCGGCTCCCCCGGGAGACGCTCTGGCCGCCCCCGCCGTCCGTTCCGGCTTTGCGCCGCGCCTGAGGCGCTCCTGCGCTGAGACCGGCTTCTTCAGAAGTCAATACCAGCCCCGTGAGATGTGAGGCTAGAACGCGGCTCCTAAGACGCCCGAGTAGCTTCCAGAGTTAGAGAGCGGTGGTCGATGCGGCGATATTGAGAGGCTGCGGCAGCGGCAGGAGCTCCAGCAAACACGTCTAGCCGCTTCCCCTTCCTCTGTCCGACTCTTCCACCCGCCGCCGGCCCCAATATGGCGTCAATAACAACGCCGCCGATTCAAATCCTGCGGCCTCAGGGCGCGTGCGCAAAGCGGGGGGTGGGGGGCGGGAGCCCGAGCATGCATTCTGGGAGTTATAGTTTATCACTGCAGGACGGACTCTGCGTGAAAAGCGGCTGGGAGAAGTCACGAAAACTACGACTCCCGTCATTCAAGGCGCGCGAGTCCGAGTTCCGGATTGGAATTTAAATCCCCCTACACAGCTTGAGTGTAAAAGGAATTGAGGGGAAGAGAAAAAAGAAAAGCCCGTGAGTGGGAGAAAAGAAAGCCGGCCGGTGGGGAAAGCAGGTTTTAAAAAGCCTTTAAAATTCCGGTAGGCGTTGTCGTGGGACGCTCCCACAGTGATTTACCAACCGGGAACTTGAAAACGAAGCCAACCGAACAGTTCAAGACTGATTAAAACAGTGCCAGAAACAAAACCTGTCTCATCGACTGGCTAGGAAAAACTAAGATTTTTGGATCCTATTTAGACTTGCGGGAGAGAACAGTGATACTATCAGGTTACAGGAACCGTAACTGAACTTTATGCGTTGTCCTTTCCAGATAGCTGCTTGCATCCACTTATTCGGCAAAGCCAGCTTTACCCTGTAAATGAATAGGATTTGAACGACACAGAACTAAATTGTTCTACTTTGAATAAAAAAAGCTAATATCAGAAGTTGTACTATCTCAATATTGGTGTATATCTTGTGAACGGTAAAAAATTAAATCGAAAGACAATGGAATGTCTAGAGAGTAGATATGAGACCCATTTTGTAAGCAGAGAAAAAAATTTTTTAATAAAAGTTACACTTCTAATCAGGTACCTAAAAATCAGGTACCTACAGCATTAATAAAAAAAAAAAAAAAGAAGTGATTTATATGAAAAACTATCGTTTGTCCTTTGCATATGGAAGCTATCACCAGTCTAATATGAAACTAGTTATCTATGGGAATGCCATAATTATCTAATGATAAGTATAAAATACAGGCTTCCAATGCTTATTTATTCTTGTTATTTATTAAGTAACTAAAAGATGTACCATTTTGTGTATTATTCTTTACACCATTTTGGACAGTAGTTTAATACATTTATTCTTGTTTTACAAACTGTTCAACTCAAAGATCAGCAGTTCTAATCACTTTGTGTCAACAACTAAGCTGTGCTTATTTTAACATACTGTTTGGAAAATAATCTTTGGGAAAAGATCAACATTTAATGCAACAGCAGCTGAACTGTGACATCTAATAGATACATTTTTACTAAATTCTAAACACTCCATGAAATCTATGATACAGTGAAAATAACACAATACCCAATAACATATTTTATGTAAATGAGTAGAAAAAGCTAGGTTAACCTGTGGAAAACAAGCAACAAAGCATTTATATTCCTGGTAAATATTTTCTGAAATTAAGATTTAATGTGAAATTATAGAATTTACATTGGAAAAGGAATGTTAGGAGTTGAATTGTCTCTCCTCGAAATATATATATAAAGTCCTAATCCCAAGTATCTTGGAATGTGAGGTATTTGGAAATAGGATCATTTCAGATATAATTAGTTAAGATGGTGTCATACTGGAATAGGGTGGGTCCCTAATCCAGTATGACTGGTACCTTTTGTAAAAAGGGGAAATTTGGACACAGATAGGCAGAACACCATGTGCACACGAAGGCAGAAACCTAGATGATGCATCTACAAACCAAAGAAAGCCAAAGATTGCCAGCAAATCATCAGAAGCTAGGAGAGAGGCATGGAGCAGATCCTTCCTCCCAGCCCTTGTAAGGAACTAACCCTGCTGATAATCCTGGCTTCGGTGTTCTAGTCTCCAGACAATGAGACAATAAAACTGAAAACTGTGTTGTTTAAGCCACCCACTTTGTGGTACTCTGTTATTAGAAAACTAATAAAGAGGCTTGTGTTTGTTTGAGTTATGATGATTCCCTGGAAAATGAGGAAAGAGTTGTATGTAAAGGTGGCAGGGATTATCTGGTAAACTTGACATTTTAGTCATAATAACTACCCTTGTAATCACCACTGCACTGCCTATCTGCTAAAGGCTCTCTGTTAGGATTAAAACAGTGGGCGGGCTGGGGCAGCCCCTCCTCTACCAGTGACTAAGGAACCTGTTCAGCTTAGAGAAACAAGGGGAACTTTGCCAATTCACCTGTGTCTTTGCTCAGGTTCTCTTCCATACCTTTTGCCTAACTACTGTAACACTCAACCTAGGCATTGTCTCCTATGGGAAACCTTCCCCGAGCACATCTAGGCTGAATTCGTTTCATAGATTCATAGAAAAAGAGACACCTATCTTCATTATTACCCTCCCCACATTGTAGTACTGTCAATTCTTTGCTTTGCCTGTTAATTCTCTGCCTCTCCCACTACTGGGTTAGCTCCTGGCCAATAGCTTAGTACCTTGCACACGTCAAATACTCGTTGACTGTTTCTTAAACATTTTTTAATCACCTTATTCACCCAGTAGTCCACATTATACTTATTCCTTTAGATAGATACCTATGAAAATATTACAGCAACCCTTTTAGGGTAGAAGAAAACTGTTGAAGGAGAAAAAAAAAAAACCTAAACAAATTTCTTACTCTAAAAAAAAATTTGAAAGGCTGTAAGTCTTAACATGGCCTTAAGTCTTAAGAAGTTTAAAAATGAATTTTTATTTTGTTAATCAACAGGCAAAGAGAATCATATTTAATGCATTAATAAGTTGAATCAGGCCAAGTGAATCTAAATACACAGTACAGCTAAAGGCTTCAGTGACCTACACAGGCCAGAATTCTCTTGTGGCAACTACAAGTCTCCTGCATTTTGGGCAGATTCTTTACCTTCTGAGCCACCAGGGAAGCCCCACAAGGCCTATAACAAGTTTTAAAGGCTTGAAATATTTAGAATAGTTTTGCAACAATCTAGCAAGTGTTTTCTGATTGGTACAATCTCAGAAGCCTCTGGAGAAAATCAAACTGCTTTACCAAGATGTTGGTCTTTGCCTGGTATTAGACTTTCCTAACTACTCCCAAAATATTACCCAGGATCTGATTCTGATGAGTCATTCTTTCGCTAAAGTCAGTAAAACTATACATCACCAGATGACACAAAGTATCTCATCATCTTGAGCCTGAAGATCATCTTGTACCATAAATCATTTTCAAACAATTTCTGTCTGATGTCAAATGAAGGCAAGTGCAAATATGTAAGGTGGGGAGAGGTGTTTGCTGACTTTGCATATTGAGTTTGAGTAATCGTGTGGTTCAGCAGTAAGACTAGCAGCTCTAATTCAGAAGTCACTTCAAATCTATATTCAGAACAAGCATTGCCTAGGGCCAAAGAAATGTTTAATCATTGTGTAAATGAGTGCAGTAGGGAAGACTATTGTAATTCCTTCCACATAACAGCTTGTAGGCTGGCTGGAGTCTCTTCTAAGCACCATATTTGGCATACTATTGTACTTATTCACATACTCTTTTCTATTGTAGATATGATGCTGGCCAGTATTAACTTTTCATTATTTTGGTTGTGGTCATTATTTTGACCTTTTGATTTGATTGGATAGACCATAGTGTTATCAAAATCATGCACAGATCCGTGGTTTCTAGAGGTCACCTATTCTAGTCCCCAGCCTCGAGGTATAGTTACCAGTGAATTTCTCAAGCCAAACCAGCATGTCTGACTCTTCTTAAGTATTCTCAAGAGCAACTTCCAAAATTCTGTGGTATAGGCAACTGCAAATTCTCTAATATTTAGCTTTGACCTCCTCTACATCAGAGGCTGGTTTCAACTTGTACAGTACTTTATCAAGAACAATGCAGAAATTAATGCAACATTGTAAAGCAGTTATGCTCCAATTAAAAAAATAAAAAGAACAGTGCACTCCAGGAAATAAGATGATTCATGGTTCATTTATCCTGAGGGACTTCGAGAGAAACCACAGAAAGATCTCTGCACAGTCAAAATAAGCTTTTACAAAGTCCTTTTAAAATTTTTTTGCATATTTTTCTCAGGTTTGTACTCTCAAGGACCTGTAGCCTTATAGAAACTATTTACTCTTTACAGAGAAGCCAATAATGTCCAAGGATTTTATTTCTCAGTCCAAACCATTTAGAAGAGGGGAAAGGGAATTGAAGATGCTATATGCCAACTACAAGTAATGCAATCATTGGATAGCAAAGAGAGACTGTAAAAAATAACTACAAAATTCAAAAGGCATTACAGCCTTCAGCCTACAGCCTTGAGCCTTGAAACCTGATGACACCCGAGGAACTGCTGTATTATTACATCACCATATAATAAGAGTAGGGTTGCCAGATTGAGCAAATAAAAATATAAGATGCCCAGTTCAATTTGACTTTCAAATAAGCAAGGTACAATTTGTTAGTACAAGTATGTCTCAAATATTGCCTGTGTTTATCTGGAATACAAATTTTACCGAGTGTCCAGTATTTATTTCATCTGGCGACCCTATGTAAGACAGGCACCCCAAAGTCACCAATAAACTGCGTTAGTATACAGCTCAAAAACTGTCACTAATATGATATCAGACAATGTTTCATTGATAACATCTAAGATTAAGAAAATACAAACTTCAAGTTGTCTTTGGAAAGTTAATTTGGTCAAAATAACTCAAATAAAGTCAAACATACTTTGAACAATGCATGCTCTGTTCATTACAGAATGCCAGGCTTAAAATAAAGACAGCATAAACATTGGACGAAGTGTGAAAAGCTAAAAACCTCCTCTCCCCATGGGGTGCCCCTGCAGGCTGTCCCCAGCCCCGCTGGCTGTGTGGTTTTGGAGTTCCTCCAGGCCTTCTCACGCAGGTGTCAGTTCTGCTGTCTGCTTGAGTCCGAGCCTGACCTGGAGGCGCTGTCCCTGTCGCCGTCCCTGTCGGGCTCCGGTGCCCTCTCGCGTCTGTGTCCTTGGGCTTCCATGATGCCGCCGCGAACCTTCCCGGGTGTGGCTTTTCAAGAGGATGAGATGAGGCTACACTTCCTGATATTTTGGGTCCCCTCGG